TTAACTGCAGTGATTCACTTAACAACTGTGGCAAGAAAGGTTGTAAAATGGGGCAAAACTCACTTAGCAACATAAATTTTGGGCTCGATTATGGTTTTAAGTCGAGGACTACTTGTAATCACGTCATCCTTCCTGTTGTTCTGTCTTTGGAGGCCCTTACTCACATCAAAAGTGAGGTGCTTTAAAAAAATGTGAGCAAATTCCTCATTCGACACCCTCACACCCCTGCCGGTACCCACTTATTGAAGAGAGTACATGGTTCCCATTTCCCTGAGGTAATCTCATAATCTCTCGTTTCCCGCTTGCTCCCCAAAGAGTTACATCCAGAGCCTGCGGGACCGTCAGCACTTGGGAACCGGCACCTCCTTGAGCAACCTCAGCACAAGCGCTCATACCACGGTGGATCTGGATTATGACTCGGGCTCTACCGTCCCCCTCACCACGCCACAAGGTTGCCTCTGAGGAATGCGTGGGTATGTGTGTGTTCGTCATGTTACTGCGTTGTCTCCCCACCCCCCTTCTGCTTTTAGCAGAACCAGAGCACAAGCCGGCCCAGGGTTCTTTAATATGTTCTCTTCTGTCTGCAAACATCTTTGAATAGCCCGTTATATTTAAGATTGCTTTTCAAGTGTTCAAACCAGATGGGTCTGTCTCCTTTCCTCTCTTTGGGAAGGTCCACAGGTGACTTAAAGGAGGAGCAGAGAAAGGATTTAAGGAACACACATTAATGTATTTCCACTTTATCAATGAAGGCAGTTTTCTTTAGAAGATCTTGACAGCCACCTCCAAATTTTGCCAGAATAAATGGACTGGTGTCTAGGATGTCTGTCACCATCTTTGAAGCTGATTTTGTCTCTGTCTGAATGCTAAGCCATACCTGGATCCTTCTCCGGATTGAGAAGGCAATTTGCTCTACTTTGCAGCAAATCTGAAGCAAGCCTCTTTTGGCCTCGATAAACTGCCCTTTGTAGAAACTTAACTCAGGGGTAAAATACAACCACACGGTAGCTTACGACGGTTTGTTGCAATATAAACGCATGGCATATGTGTTCTGATTTGTGGTGCTTCTCCTTCAAGGTGTTGCCATTTTTTGTACATATGCCACACAAGAGATTTATTACATTTAGTTTATCCTTTCTCTAAAGGGCAATTAAGGTTGCTTGTTTCAAGAAGGGAAAGCTGCTCTTCTGTCCTCTCCTTAATCTAAGATCCAAGATGGACCCTTAAAAGCTATAGTCAGACATTCACCCTTGCCGTAATTATGATCACCTGTGGTGCCCAGAATAGTCTATAAAGGTCCCCAGCAACTTCAAAATGTAATATTGCATTTAAAAAAAAATTAAGCATGTACAAGATGTCAGCTTTCTCATTGAAATCTATTTGACCTTAAGATTATGACTGAAACTATTTGGGACACTCTCATTATTGCACAAAATCGTATGCCAGAAATCACCTCTTGAAGATTACTAACTCTAGCCAACAGGAAGAGTACCCTGTTTCCCCGAAAATAAGACCTCCCTGGATAATAAGCCCAATTGGGCTTTTGAACGCATGCACTAAAATAAGCCCTCCCCCGAAAATATTGCAATACAGCAGTAACCATGAGGTGACCACACTCGCTGCCTCATGCACCTCAAAAATAATAAGACCTCCCCGAAAATAAGCTCAAGGCTTATTTCGGGGTGGGTTGGGGGGGGGAAAGAAAACCAGACCCTGTCTTATTTTCAGGGAAACACGGTAGCAACATTCTTACTAGCCCAGTCTTTCCCTATTCCCTCCACAGATGTGAACATGCCATATATCTACCTTACTGAATGGGAGGGGAGTGGCACGATCGTGTCTGTGGAGAGAATGGTCTTCTGTGGTCCTTCAGATATTGGATTTTGATCTAAATCACCATCAAAAGCCTTTATGGTTTATGGTCATTTGGAGAGCCACAGGTTTCTTAATCTCTGTTGTGGTAAAGTCTGACCAGCAGGGTTATAAAATTTTCAGGCGGAGCTTATATTTGCAGAACAGGCCACCTTCATGAGATGTTCACCTTTACTAAGTTGGTGATGACGACTAGAAATCAACTGGGATGTAGCAAGGAAGTGATTGCACTTCCTCCACCCTTGTAACCCCCAAAGAGTGAATGCCAAATAAAACTCTTAGTATTATTTGGAGTGCCTTTTCTAGTATACATAGAGCCATACACGCTTTGGAATGTTTCTGAATTTAACTTGACAATGGTGCTTTTACGAACATGTACGTAAGGATTAAAAATTAAAAAAAATAAGAGTCCTAATCTTTGAACTCTTAACTGGGTAAGCTAACTCACCTGATTTTCAAATCCTGATATTTTTTTTAATCCAAATTCACTCTCTGTGCATAGGTTCAAATCCTGTTCAAGAAACCTTTTTATTATTGTGTTTGTTTCCTATGACATGTTTGTTAACTGTTTTATAACTGTTCCTGTTTATAAAACTTAACACAAATACACTTTGTTTGACTCCTTCACATCAGTTCTTGGTGGGTGAATTAAGCTCGTGTTTCTGGGGGTTCCTACACAGACAAAAGATTATCACTGTTTCCACCCATCTCTGGTTTTCATAAGGGAGAAATGTGCTGCTAAAATCTGCTAATGCTTTGATCATCCTGGTGTCCCCTGGAACAACTGCTGCAAATCTCTTTTTTTTAAATATATATATATATATATATATATATATATAAAAAGGACAGGACAAAGAGGCTACTTCTGCAGAGTTAAATAGGAATCTGTAGCTAAACTTCTGTACTTCATCTGCCTTTCTCCGTTAATATTCAAGTGAATGGATGTAAAGAAGTGTTTGCTCTGCAGCTTATAACACCTGCCTTATGTTCTGCATCCCAGTTAAAGCAGCATCTGGCTTTGGTCTGCATTAAATCTCAGTACTCCATATGGAGTTCTTTTTGATCCCTCATTCAGCTCCTACTGGCACTGTTATATTTAAAAAAATTATATATATTTTTTCTGGTAGTTCTCCATTTCCACAGTGCTACACAGCTTTATCACTGTCATACACAGAGGCTGTTTCATAGAAAGGTAAATAATTGGACTGTCTTAAACCAATTGATGGGGAAAGCAGAATAGGAAATCAAGGGAACTTGAAAGATGTCATCATATGGAGGGGTTCTGAATGAAATGCCATCTGGACCCACAAGACTCTTGGGCCTTGGATTCCCCTGATACGACAGAGAAGCTAGTTTAATTGAAGCATTGTGGGGTATTTAAGTGGCTGCCTTCTGCTTTCATAAGAGACCAGCGGGATAAACAGTGTTTCTTCATATGTTGATTTAATTACTCTGAAACTGCTCCCATCTTGTCTCCAATCTGAATTGTGATTTGGAGCCATACTCAATTTTACATTGCTGGTTCTAACTTCCCCAATCATTTTGAGTTTTCCCTCCTCCTTGTTTTGGGGAATTGCTGATAAGAGAACATGTGTATATGTGTATGTATACAGGTTGTCCTTGACTTACAAAAGTTCATTTAGTGACAATTCAAAGTTACAATGACTCTGAAAAAATGTGACATGACTTTTTTTCAGTTACAACCTTTGCAGCATCCCCATGATGACATGATCAAAATTCAGATACGTGACAACTGGTTCATACTTATGACCATTGCTGTGTCCCAAGGTCATGTGATCACTTTTTGTGACCGTCCAGCAAGCAAGGAAGACAGATTCACTTAACAACCGTGTTACTAACTTATCCGTGACCCGTCAAAACCGCGGTCCACAAAAGCGCGATCGACGAAAGCGCGCATTTGACGTCATCACAGCGCGACGAAAAATATTTAAAATTGAAATAAAATTAAAATTAAAGCAAGCCGATTCACATAAAGGTAAGGGTTAGGTTTAGTATTTGTATTTGTATTTTGTACAAAAATACAAATTAGGTTTAGGGTTAGGGTTAGGTTAAGGGTTAGGGTTAGGTTTAGAGCGTTAGGGTTACGTTTAGCGTTAGGTTAAAGGTTAGCGTTAGGTTTAGCGTTAGGTTAACGGTTAGGTTTAGGGTTAGATTTAGGGTTAGGCTAAGGGTTAGGGTTAGGTTTAGGGTTAGGTTTGGGGGGGTTAGGGTAAGGTTTTCGCTTTATTTGTACATTTTTTGATCACAGCGCGATGTTTTCGTCGCGCTGTGATGACGTCAAATGCGCGCTTTTGTCGACCGCGATTTTGTCATCCGCGGTTTTGTGGTGGAACCAACTTATCAATTGCAGTGATACACTTAACAATTATGGCAAGAAATGGGGCAAAACTCACTTAACAAACAGAAATTTTGGGCTCAATCATGGTCATAAGTCAAGGACTGCCTGTACATATGTATGTCGAAAATCCAGAATTTTGGCAGGAGCCAAGAATGTTCATTATGAAACTGCAATGAAATAGATACTGGTTGCCTCTTAATTATAAAATAGATTACAAAACCTAAGCACAAAGTAGTAGCCACCAGCCCAAAATTTAAGATGGTTAGACATTCTCTCCCATTTGCTAAGTTTTCTGCTTATAATGTTGCAGGATCTGGTCAACAGCCAGCTCTTTACCCTTGCAAAAGTGTTTGTCTGGTCGTGTATTAAATTTGAAGCAGGCTTCAGGATTCCTTACTAGAGTCCTCATGTCTGTTTGCAATGTGGAGCAGATACACATCTGTAATGTTTTACATGCATGTCCCTAAGCTCAACGTTTCAGAAACTTTTGGAACGCACCAACGTGAATGCAAAAAAGAAAAAATACCCTGTTTAATATGGTTATTAATAAAACTAGACTTTCTTCCAGACTAGAACAACCAGTAATTTCAAGGTCTATATGATGGAGGTATGATTGAGCCAATGGTAGTTGATGAAAATTTATGAAAATTATTGAATTACGGTTGGAAGGAATCACAAGGATCACATACCCAGTTTGGTGTTGGCTTAGAAACCAGGAGACTGAGAGTTGTAGTCCCACCTTAGGCATGAAAGCCGACTGGTGACTTTAGACCAGTCACTCTCTCTTAGCCCTACACACCTCGCAGGGTGGTTGTTGTGGAGAGAATAGAAGGAAGAAGGAATATCAGCTATGTTCTCCATCTTGAGAGAACATAATAAAGGCCAGATAAAAAGGTTTACCATCACCATCCCAAACAACTGTCTACCTGTCTCCTATTTACTAGGCAAAGTTAATTTACTTCCAGCTCAGTGGATTATTGAATTTGTAGGCTGCTTGTGGAAATGCAGATTAGGAGTCTTGACTTAGATTTATTTTGCTGCCATATCAGCATTCTCATTTCAATTTTGGAATAATATGTAAAAGCGAAGATTCAAACAGGCAGGAGCCCACATGGGCTTCTCTCATAAAATCAGCCATTACGGCTTTCAGTCACATTGGGAGAACCCAGTGGGACCTTTTCCTGCCAACTGCTTTAATTAATGACAGACTCAAGTTACTTTGGAATGGTGGGAACAACGTGCCTTCCCAATGAGCGAGGTCTTCTCAGCCCTTGTGGAAAGGCACCAGATTAGAGATGACCTATCGCATGTGCTAGTATCTTCCTCTCCCAATATGGCGCCTTCTCAAATTCCTAGAAAGTAGGAATAGAACTGATGCCTTCATTCAGCACAGCTCCTTGACTGGAGTGCCTATCGGGTTTCTTTCAGGTCCAGCCAGCTGGCTGAGATGGCAGGAGAAAGGAAGCGGTAAATGAGACAGACACTTCTGGACTACAGGTTTTCCACACAGTGTTTGTACCCTTCCTAGATTGGCTCTGAAGCTTGTGATTGCCTGCTCCTTGTTCTTCAGGAGCTGGGCCAAATTACTTCCTGCTCTAATGTAAGCATAACTACTCTGAAACTGCTTTTCACTTGAAAATGTGAAGCTTAGGGATGGGTCATGAAAGGATAATTAATCCACCAGGTTGCCTTGCCTTGGCATTCCTCTTAATCCCCATGTTTTAGCTGGTGGAATGGTGGCTCGGCAGTTAGACATCTTCCCCTCAATAGTTAATCAAAATGGCAGAGATAAACCAGAGGAGATTCTGTCAGTTTTCCCCATTGGCAGCGTGACATGAAGGTGTCAAAGTACCAGACTATCTGGCTTCATTTCTTTTATTTCTCTTTATGTAGGATGCATTGGTAGGAGGGAGTGGGCGGGATTGAAGTTTGTGGCTGTAGAATCTACAATGTTCTGACTGTTTTCATTGTTCTCAATGATGCAAAGCTGGCAGAGGGTGGGGGGCAGTGTAGAAACAGTGGCATTGTGACCAACATGGCACTAAAGGGGAATTCTGTACTGTGACTTCTTGCAAAATGAGATCAGAACTGTATTACAGAAATTGCAAGCTGACCTTCACTTCCTTTTGAGAAAACTGATAATGAACCCCACCTACTTTCTGGCAGAGTTCGCGTTTTTTTCTGAATGGGTAACAGAAGACTATTGTGAGTGTTTTAAGGCAGATTGGCATTAACTGTTGCTCATGCTTGCCCAGCCAATTATTTTCAATGGAGAATTTCAATCGCAGCAGATCATGAAAATAGAATAATGGTCCACAACTATGTTCAGGCCTGTTGGTAGCCAAGCCTCTTTGAGATAAGCTGACTACATTTCCTCCCTCTTCATCTGCAAAGTAAAATGGAGAGGAAAGGATTGTTCATTGTTAAATTTCTGTAACTTTTTCCCCCCCATTTCGAAATATGCGCCTGGGATCTTCTCCTTCTGATACTAAAATAACAATTCTGAACCACATCCGTGCAAAGGAGGAGAAGGGATGGTTTGTGCTGCTCTGCCTTAGGCAACCAAACATTTTGCCTGGTTGTATCCAGCTAAACAAAACCAGAAAGAAAAATAATTTCCTTGTCGGAAGAAAAAAGCAGAAGTACATACATAGAACAATATTCTTCTTTTTATTGGAAACCTGGTACACTTTGCATAACTGGAAGCCACATTCTAGCCCTCAAGTCATCCTGCTGGATATCTGAGATTAAATTATTACCATGGAATCTGCAGTTTGCCCTAACAATGATGGGTGTCGATGTGTATATGTATGTGTGCATGCATTGCAAGAGATATACTCCTCTAACCCCAGGATATTCCATGCACTTTCCTTGTAATTTCGGCTTTAATATTATTTTTTTTTAAAAAGCTTAGCTGTTGTTCTGACAGACGTACAAGTAACAGTGAACCATCAATACTCTAAAACTCTGCAGTTCTATTTGACTAGACACAGCCATAGAACAAGGAATGATACTTCTAAAATGCCCTTAAAGTTCCCTTTTAAAAAAAAAACCTCTGATGTTGAATAATTATTCTACAGACTGACTTCTTAGCTATAGTCTCCCAAGGTCTCCTGAATCCTGAAACTGGGCTAGTTCCTTCTGCAGCTATGTTGCCTCCGAGATCATCCGGATATTTTTTGTTTTGAAATCCAGCATTTTATTTTATGTTTTAAAAAAGGTAGATATGTCTGCAATGAAGAAGCTCAGCGGAAATGGAGTTTCCACAAAATCAGTGGTTTTCTTTGCTCCGCTGCCCAAATTGGTCCCATTCAGAAGACTTGCTCCTGTGCATCACCTGTAGGTGTCGCTGTGGGGTCTCTTAAAAAACAACAACAGCACATCTCATTGCTCAGAGAAGGGCCTGTCTCTGAAAGTTGTAAGCCAGAGCATCGCCCTAAACATCAGCAGTTCATCCAGCGCTCAGCTGTGCTTAGGGGGTAGCCTCTCTCTACCAGAAGCTGGTCATTGAGTCTCCAGTAGCTCCGTCCTTTGAAAAAGTAGAGCTTGCCGTTCTCCCAGGTTAGTGCAGCATCCAGGTGTGATGGAGCCCCGGTGAAGAGGGTGGAAATCCTCCTAGGGGTATTAGCAAAATGGCTCCCCAGTTCATCCCATTGCCAGTACTCCGTATCCTGTGAAAAGAGATCAAGGAGGAATTAACACCCTTCCTAGCATTCGCAGCACTTTCATCCATTTGTCTAGAGATCCTCAAATGTTTAAGAAAAGAACCCAACCACATCCCGACAAGCCAACTTTCTATCATCATCAGTGGCTCTGCCATTATACGTTAAGAGCAGTCTTTCCTTCCTGTCACTAAGCAAAGTCTGTTCGGGGAATTGTGCAGAGGGGACGTTGACATGAACTTGCAGTTTTATATAAATAAGTATATTTTGCATCTATATTTACAGCAAAGGAGATTAGTCAGACATATAGGAGCATCATGAGGTAAATGCCAGAGGATACAAAGCAGAAAGAAGAAAAAAGTGGGAAAAGAGGGAAACTCTCCCTCCGCACCCACAGCAGCCAATCACAATGTAGATTGTCTCACGCAGGAGCAAGTGGGAGCACTCTCCAACCAATCAACCACAACTGTGTGTTCTGGCTGACTGCACAACCCTACTGCTCCAGCTACTAAATTTAAATATCCTAACAAACCAAGTGGCTTCCCTTCTCTGTATGGCCTCCTCTCCAGTTCTTTCTGCAAGGCTGTGCCTTCTCTTCTCATGCCTCTTATTAGTGACATATTCAACCTATCCTCCGTCTCTCAAGCCCCGTTTTAAGAAAATATGCATTGTGCTTAGGAGAGGTAGTTCAGCTGGATGCCACATATTCTGGAGCCTTCCCAATGATGGAGCCTGCCCAATTTTCTTTGCTGTAGTTGTTAAGCGAACACTGCAGTTGTTAGGTAAATGTAGTGGTTGTTAAGCAAACCATAGGTGCCATTTTTGCAGAAAACTATTGTTTGGTAAGAACCATCACAAACACAATCCCATGACCGCAGGCCACTGCAAACAGCCACAAAGGCAGCTTTGTTGCCAAGTTCCTGAACTTCAGTCACTTGACCATGGGCCCAACGGTTGGAACTTCAAATCCAGGTCACTGAGTGAGCGGCTGTACATCAAAGACTACCTGTGTATCCCCTGGATTCAGAGAACCTCTAAACACCAGAGAATGAGGAGCAGAAGTTGCAAGGATGAACTACAAAAGCTATCTGAACCCCGAAGAAAGAACCTTCAAAGAGAAAACAATAAGTCCAGTTGCTTCCAGAAAAAAGCACTTTTGGGACAACCTGGATGCTGCTGGAGAATTTCTACAAACTGCTATCTGAACCACAATGAAGAAAACAGGTTTTTTTTGACCGAAACAATGTCACATCCTGGCATATCCAATTCATATCCTAATAATTCAGGTTTATCTCATATATCTCCAAACTTGTATTGTTCATTTTAGAAAGCTTTTTGGTTGAAAATGACTTCTAGCTTAATGCTTCCCAGAAGTTTAAAAACTCATGGTTTGTATTTTTACCTTAAATAAGAATATCTTCTTATTTACTGGCCAATAGAGAGCAGCATCTATCTTGGCAGGGATACGAGTGAGGGGCTTAGGGTAACCGTAATCCAGCTTGAATCCCCGGTAACGCCATACTTTAGTGCCTGGAAACAAAGATGGAATGAATACAGATTAAAAACAGACAGTAAAATATAGTTTATAATCATTAATAGCAGCTACAGAATCTATGGTCAAATCCCTGCTAGCAACTTTGTCTCCTAAAATTATCTACCCATTGTTGTGCCAATATAACAGCAAAGAAAGCTGTGTATCATTTCAATAGTAGCTGAAGGAAGCCACTAGTGTGAAAATGCCCTATCCTGGAGGCAATTACATTATCATATTATTACTTTGGAAACCTTGTGAAGAGAAAAAAAGCTATCATCATCAGAATGGAGGTGGAACATACCTTTGGAAAAATATGTTTTTATTTATTAGTATCTGATAATCCAGCGTTGCCCAGGTATTTATTTATAGGGGGAAAATGTCCGGACCAAATGTAATTTCTAATGTTGGATTTTCTCCCTTGTGGGGTACTGTGAAGCTGTTACCATGGCAACTCTACTGCACTGTACAGTAGAAGCCATTTTAAGGCACAACAGGCTGTGTCTTAACATACACACCAATGGGTGTTAGGGGTATCTTAGTCATCTGTGTACCAAGTTTGGTTGAAATTGCTCAAGGCATTCCAGAGTTATGGTGGAACACACACACAGACACAGACACAGACACACACACACACACACACAAAAGATAAAATGAATGTGTTGCTCATCTTGCCAAGAGGTGACTTTGAGCAGCTTACAGCAAAGATACATAATTTTCTTTATAAAAAGGGATCAAGGAAGAGGAGAGGGATCATCTCAATGCACAGACCTTTGAAGAAGTAAGTGCGCCCCGTACGGGGAGAGTGCACAGCGGCATCCAGCCACCCAGGCAGCCCCTTCCATAACGTTGAAATCTTTAATGGAGGGTTAGTACCAAAATCGGTCACCATCCACACGTAATCACCATGGAAAGCATACGTTTTGTCATATGGTCCTAAACAGTAGGAGAGAAGAATTAAAAATCAATAATTGCACTCTAGTTGTTTTTTTCTTATTTCTGAAAGGACACAGAGCCGCCTCCTCCTCCTCCTCCTCCTTCTTCTTCCTGCTTCCTGCTCCCCCGCCTCCTTCTCCCCCCTCTCTCCCCTCCTCCTTCTGTAAGAGGTAAAGCAGGAAGAGAAATCCAGAGATCTATGTGCCTCTTTAAGTGTTCCTGGGTCTTCTTCAAGTCCTGGATGAAGATGGATGAATGGGTCACCTAAGTTATAGACAGATGGCTTTAATCACTTGAACAACTGCTGTTTCATGGATGGTATCATTTGTACCCATATTGTTGTTTTTCAACTCTGTGACATCACTCAGAGTGATTTAGAGTAGGATGGCCACAACACACATTCAAGATTCCCTTTAGTAATCCACAGCAATTATTCATCTAACCATCGCATAAATCTCCACTCTGCAGGGCTTCTTCTGTGCCTCCCCCCCCCCCCCAGCATCTTAGTGGGATGGCAGGCTTCCAAGATTTTGTATGCTTAATCAGCTTTGTTCTGCTGCTGAGTTCAAGCCTGGCTTTTTTGCAAGCGATAGAAGAAAAAGCTTGGCTCTAGAAACCAGGATGAGAGCGATGGCTTACCCAACATGATAGCATCCAGATCATCTTTGCATGGGTCAGGGACTTTGCTAGGTTTCAGAGCACTTGCAGGGGCAGTAGAGAGGGCAGGGGAGGTCTCAGGTGCAGTTGTTGACAGGGTCTTCTTACCTGTATAAAAAAATTAATTTGAATTGTGAGTCAAGCCTAAAAGAACAGGGAAAATAATTGGGATGAAAAAAAAAGGGGGGGGGATATTTGTCAATGTATTTGGCTAACTACTTATCTCTTGCTACAAGTAGTCTCAACTTACAAACATTCATTTAGTGACCATTTGAAGTGATGACGGCACTGAAAAAAGTGACTTATGACCAGCCTTCGCACTTAATTACTAGTAAAGTGTCCCCGTAGCCATAATTCAAGCACTTGGCAATTATCACATATTTATGACTATCACAGCATCCCATGGAGGTGTGATTGCTATTTGCGACCTTCCCAGCCTGCTTCCGACAAGCAAAGTCAATTGGGGGGGGGGGGGGGAGGAAGCAAGATTTGCTTAACAACTGTGTGATGCAGTTAACGATGGCAGCAAAAACAAATCAGGGTGACTCACTTAACAACACCTCGCTTAGAGACAGAACCCAATTGCCATCGTAAGTTGAGGGCTATTGTATTATATTGATTCCATGATTGCTTTCTTAAAGTCAAAAGCTTATTGAGAAATGCATCGCGAAGAAGTCCAGGCCAATTTTGTCAACAGTCTTGGCTTCCTCTGCACATGATTTCAAAACCCCTGGATCAGATCCCTTCATTGTCATTGTGAGAAACAGATCTTGTTGCTAGGAGATGGACTAACCAGAGAAGACATGAGAACAGCCAAGAGGTCAAGTAGGAGGGTGAGAGGAAAAAGAAAGGAAAGGAAAAGAGACATTATCAGAATTCAAGGATAATAGAAAATAAACAGAGAGTTTGCCCCTCCAGAAGAAGCCTTCCTTTTGGAAGACATAACGTGAAAGTTCATTATTTGTCAAGGGAGTTCTCCCTCTTCCCTATATAGAACTTTTTGTTTTACATAAAAGTGCCTTGGACATACTAGGTGTAACAGGGAAATGATAAGTCTACAGCACCTAAACTTCCCAGATTATATTAATATGGGATTCAATGCAGTTATTTCAAATATTTCTAGATGCTATTCTTTAAAGGTTTAAAGGTTTAAAGGTTTATTGGGATTTATATGCCGCCCTTTTCCCTGAGGGGACTCAGGGCGGCTTACAGTCACAGGGGAGGGGAAGTGCAAGGTCAAAACAAAACAATTTGTGAACAAAAGAAAAATAATAAAACACAACTTTCATTCAGCAATCAAACACTCGGGCGGGT